GGGGCCACGCCCTACAGGCTTGGGCCCCTAAAAAGTAAAACATTGACACGGACGACGGACGACGACGGACAATCACTCATATGATAAGCTCCGCTCGACAAAGTCGACAGCGGAGCTAAAAAAAATGGTTTAGAAGTGAGTATGGTTTTCGAGAGGTGGGCTTCACACCCTTACCCTCTTAATGTGGAAGTAGCCCCCCCCCCCTCCCCGGCTCATACCTCAGAACGTGCATCAATTTCAGGTATCATTAAAAGAGTATCTTACCTTGGAACGTGCATAGATTCTAGGTGTTATTGTAGTTGTTTCATACCTCGGAATGCACATAGATTCTAGGCGTTTTTTATGAGGTCTGGAGAAACATAACTTGGACCATACATCGTTTGTGCTATGGCAGGAGTCGCATATGTCTGAACGCGCACACATTCTAAACGCCATTACAGGCGTCCTATCCCTCAGAACGCGCATACTGGATTCAAGGTGTCTCAAATCTCGGAATGTGCACAAATTCTATGCGTTATTGCAGGGGTCCCATCCTTGACAAAGCATACACTTTCTAGGCGCCATTCGCAGATGTCTCATACCTCGTAACGCATGTCATCAATTCACGTTATTGAAGGAATCTTAGACCTAAGAACGCGCATCGATTTTAGATAAAAAAATTAAAAAAAAACGGCTAAATACTCACCTGTATAGGCAAGTCGTATTTAACTGCAAGTTCTCCCAAACTCGTCATTAATTCCACGGAGCAAGACATTGCAAATCGTGGGGTGATGATGGCGGAAATTCTCTCGTAATCCCGACGGTTAATCTCCTCCACAAACCTGAAAGAGACGTCACAAACATGACCATCACGGTTAGCTACCGTTTTGACAGGCCAAAACCACCGGCCAAGATCAGACGATTTTCCGTTCAACTGCGAGATCTTGCGTATTGGATGAAAACGCGGACCGAACGCCTACCGCAAAAAGTGAATGATTTGTTTTTTTTTAAACTCAAATTTCTGTAAATTTTTGTAATCAATATTTTGTAGTCAATGTTGAAATGACGTTCTTTCAGATGCGAATATGGCGTTGGAAACACCCCCGAAACACGTTCGTGTTTGTCGATTTTGTTTTATTCCACTCCAACGCTCATTCTTCTTCCCAGAGCTTCTTGCGGTTACAACACCGAAAGTATATATTCGTGGAAATAGACCTCTGCGTGAGAGAATGTATGACGCTATGTTGGAATTCAGTGAATTCATAAGGGGGGCTTCTCTTTGTCCGCGTGAGCATATTAGACGATGCTATGGGACTCGTATCGTAAACACGACAAACCCCCCCCCCCCCATTTAAAGTCCATACCTGCTGACACGACCGACGCAAAGACAGCGCATTAAACAACCACAATCGTCCGTTATATTAGAAAAAATCGGTACCCCTCAGGCACATTAAAGAGCGGCGGTGTTCGAATTTCATGTAAACAAAAAATGTATTTTACACGCGTTGTGAACGTCGCTATGAGTCCCACATCGAACAGGACGCGACGCGACGACCCCAACATATAGCAGCACTGTCGTGAACCGTCGCCTACACATCATTAAATATAAAAAAAAATATTGATGAGACATTACAGGAGTTAACATTGTTCAAATGTATAATAGTGTAAAGTACTTTATTTTCACTTGAAATTTATTTTTGCTATTTTGGTTGAAGAGATGAGTCAGTAAGAATAAAAATATTTTTCTATGTTTTACATTCAACTGAATTCAGAGAAAATATATTTCATACAAAATAGCTAAAAAGTCTTTTCAGCAAAAATTAATTCCAGCTAAAGAAAAAAAAAAGTATTTTACAGGTAAGAACGTGCGAGCCAAGACTGCGGTTTCTAAACGAACTGCACCCTGCCGTCATTGCCCACCCAATGGACTCACGAGTTTACCGTTCAGTTTCCTGTATTGACGTTTGTATGTCCTCCATATAATTTTCAGGTGAATTCTGGTCCATATTCACTTTTCCTACAAAAGCACGCTGGCCAGCTTTGTCTGGGGCAAAATAAATAAGTAAAAATAAATAAACAAACAAACAAAAAGTAAATAAATAAATAAATAATGGATATCGTATTTGAATATTACATAACTCTACTGTACAATGACTAATTTTCACTGGGTTTAAATTTCGCTGATTTACCATTTCAGTCATATTCAGTGGGTTTTAAATTCACAATGTTCTATGCTAAATTTTACATATTCACTGGGTTTTAATTTAGCGCATTTTCAGCGAAATAAGCAAAATTAAAACCCAGTGAATAATTAACCCCTTTACAGTATTTAAATGACGCTCTCTCACAAAACTATTCAGTGACGTCTATGGGGACAAGAATACATCGCCGCAATTGTTATGGTCCAACGTCGTGCGAGATTGCGATATTATAAGAAACGAACGACTGCACAGTCAGAGTTGTCGCTCTAAACCACATTGTATTTATCTTTTACGTCACATAATCGCTCCGTCACTAGAGGGCGCCATCTATAGGAAATGGCTTTTGAAATACACACCTATGACGTCAGCAAGGATGAGTGTTGACTTTGTGTGGATTGTACCATAGTAACATGCTGTAGTGGTCCCCCATTTTAGAGTACGATCCTGAAGAAATAAGCGCGTGAAAAGTCCTTTAACACATAGTATTTTTTCTCAAGTAAGGCACCGTAAATATGGTTTATTTTATTGACGTAAAACAATTGCGTAAAATACCGGAAAGACAATCGATGAACTAGCCAACAGAGGGCGCACTTTGCAGAATCATACCATAGACAGTGGATGGAACTTACGACAACTTTCTCGTAAACATTCTCAGCAAACTTCGTATTATTGTATTTCATCTCCGTCGGGAATGTGTATTTTTCTAACCAATCCAACAACTGCAGGTCCATTCCAGAACCGGAAATGGCGTACTGTGGCGCGTGAATATGGGTGTCAACAAAACCAGGAATGAGGAATTGACTGAAAAAAATCAGGTCAACTCACGATTGATAATAGTTTGCACGAGGATAAATTTCTGCACACAAATTTTCATTTCGTCTGTCTATGCCCACACATAAAATATGGTATCTGTGACAACATGTACAGTCAGCATTTGTAATAAGTCATTAAAGAGACGGCGGTGGTCGTCGTGCGGCGCGTGAACAAACAACGTATTTTACACGCGTTGTATACGTCGCTATGAGTCCCATATCGAACAGGGCGCGGCGCGACGACCACCGTCCTTTAAGATAAGAAGATGGTCGCACAGACTTGTCACGTAGTCTCAAACATGGAATATGGAAATGCACTGTATGCATACATTACATTTTCTTATTATACCTCATGTACAAGATCGTCAATTTGATTGGTTTGAACGTGATTACGTGGCGGTCAATAAAACCGAATAATGACTCGTAGTCAATAATAACAATCCGTTTCGTTATTACGCATGCCTAGTTATTTCCAAAATAATCAGATACCATAATTCACTTTTTGCTGTGTTTACTCGGTACAATAAAACAATCAGTTTGTAATGACTTTTTGAAGAATTTATTCACCTCGGCTGCGCCTCGGTCAATGATTTTCTCTTTTAGCGTATTTACGTTTCCTTAGAAGTTCGAAGAAAGTCCTTCTGGTTAGAAAAACTGCGTGTATGCAAATGAGCCGTATGCAAATCTACATATGTGACGTTCCAAGAGTTAGGAATGCAACTCACCTCTGCTTCATGTATCTCACGTCTTTCGGATTGAAAAAGTACCTCCTTGCAAGGTCGTTCAAATCACTCTGACTCTCAATGAAGATTATCTGAAAGCATAAAAGATGTTAATGAATGACCAAATATAGATACGTGGCTGTATCACGTGCCGGGGTTACTTGTCTTACTGACGAATCCTCCCCGCAGGGGATTCTCGCACACTGCGTGTTTTGATGAAACAGCGAGAACGAACACGTTGGCGGGAAACAGATAAAGATTGTCGGTCATTTGAGCGTGCTTGGTTTCATGTCTACTTTTCTTCGTTGGGGAAAGTTAAACCAAAGCCAAGAGCGGAAGAAACGACAGGGGAAGTTTTCTGTCAGTTTATCTTTTATATTACAACGTTTATTTACTAGTCTTCTTCTAGTAACCGTGCCCGATCGATGGAATCGTCTTCGAACGAATATGTAATTTTATGCAAATTATGATCGCCGCAACGTCGGCAGTATGCTAATTCCCTTTGTTTTAAATGCTTACCGAGACACGCTTCATAACAAAAGAACCGAAAGAGTTTCCTAACCGTTCTTCTAGTAATCATGATATTACCCCCAGCTTCCTTCGTCTGTTTCTTCACAGTAGTGAAGCGGCGAAACAGACGGAGGAAGCTCACACATTTTGGCATTAGCATGAAGCATATTCGTCATTTCTAATAACTTTCGCCCAATAAAAACGTTTCTGTGACGTAAATAAATTAAGCAATGTCGATGAAATTGACAACTGCGTTATTTATGTAGTCGTTCTCCTTCAGAATAAAGACAATCTCTAAAAAACATACTTTTATTGACAGGCTAGCGAAGATATCGAAAATGTTTACAGCGTTCATCATCGTTCATTTACGTCAGGCACGGAAGCGTTTTGACACTAGAGGGCGCGACTTAAAAAAGACGCGGTGTTCCTGCATTACTACTGTAAAGAGGAAATTCCATGTGAACGTTTAAAAGGCGGTGGTCGTCGCGCTGCGCATGTGCGACATTTGTGTTGATAAACATTGATTCTCCCACAATCTAATGCGCTTTTCTAATGGAAATCACAAGTATGAGGTTTGACCTGGGCGCAACTTGCACTAATTGACGCCGGTGAATCCTTCGATACCTTCTAAACATCAAAAATTACCCCAATAAAGCTCGGCAACGTCTCTGTTTGTATTCGTTGATCTGCTGAACAGTCCGTTGAACAGTCGAAGTCGCCATCTTTGTTTATATAGAGACCCATACATCTCGCGCATGCGTGGCGCGACGACTACCGCTCCTTAACCCAAAGACGATATAAGAAACCATTGGTTTCATCAGGTTGATTTGTACCAGGCCCGATTTGTACTCACCGTCTTCCCACGTACGCCGATGAGGGCGTCGTTCACAATCTGCAATGGCACTGTGCGAGTGGAATGCACAAGGGTTCCGGCGAAGACCGTAAGGGGAGTAGTTATGGTGGTGTTCTGATTACTGTCCATCGTCAATAGCGTGTCAGCGGAAGTGGAATTGGATATGTTTGTTTATCAAGTAGGCTAGACGGCAGAAATAAAAAAACAAGTTTCTATTGTTAAGTTAGACAAAGCAGTTTTTTTTTTTTCATTTTTTGTGCAGTTATGTGCACAAGGAATCCGCCATTTTGTGTTTAACCTCAGTCCGTTTTGCGGTGCTGAAATAAAAATATCTAATATGTAATATCTATAAGTTCAAGTCGACCATTTTAAATTTTAATTTCACATATTACATGTTTAATAATGACTAATCTTTAAAACAAAGTACCTTAACATTTCTAAACCTTCACTGATAAAACCATTTCTATAAATTGCGCCCTCTGACAAAAAATGGAATCTTCAATGATTGACAACTACATATCAAAACGATGTCGACGCTTTGAACGGCTTTCGTATCATGGAAACGCTTCGCCACTAGAGGGCGCAATTATTGAAAAAGTTTATGTCGTGTCGTGTGAAAAAAATTATCACGATGTCACAGTCCCTCTCAATCTGATTAAAATCTGTTGTAGTGTA